CAGTGCATGGGATTGCAATTTATGAGTCACTTAAACTTATCCTGGTCTATTTAAGTCAAAGTCTGGTCCCAATGCCTCCTAATTGAACTATGTTTAAAGGACCTTAAGAACATATGAACTACATTTACGTATAGTGTGATTACTGACGTGCTAAAAAACTATATGTTTTAATAGTTTCAACATTTAGGTTTTATGTAGTTTAATTATGTTTTTATGTTATTTATTTAGATGTTTTGATATTTTGAAATCTTGTGTATTGTAACACAGCAAAAAGATCACGAAGCTGAGAATTGTAATTGGAAACAACAATTGGAAATTAAATGACCAATTATTGTGTATTTTGTTCAAATGGTGCTGAGCATCAGATATTTTTCTAATGGAATTATATTTCAATTCCATTAAAGGAATTAGGGGCTTTACGGCAGTGTTCTCCAACCTTTGTGTGCCGTGACACACTCCTTTCATTTAAAACAATCACATGGCACACCACAAGCTGAAAAGTACACAAACATGTAACTCTGCAGCCTTCACAACAACAACAAAACCAAATTAATTCTCATCAAAATATATAATAGAAAATCAAAGAAAGTCCAAATAAGTATTTCTAATCTTCTAATTTTTGTTTTGTTTTGTTCACAATACTTTGACCAAGTATTGTAGGTGATATTGGATGAATTTTTGGACAAGTCAAATCTTTAGATTTAAAGTGGAAAGGAGAGGACCACGCTTACTCAGCCAATCAGCTAAAAGATGAAATGGCTTTGATGGTTCTTTTAATAAGAGAAGAAAGTAAAGAAAGTTAGTACTGCTTTATTACCTGACATGTTTGGGCGGTACACTTCTTATCAGCTGTTGTTGCCGGATGCGGTCAGTCTGACAGATCTCACAGATCCCTCAGACTGACCGCGTCCCTCTCCGCGTTGTGGTCTCTGGAGAAATGAATCCCAAGTGTGAGCCAAGGTGAAAGCCCCATCGTCCCTGTTGATGGTCTGTGTGCCCCGCTTCCTGATTTCAAATGCCTCTCATATCCATCTTTTGTGCTTATTTATGTTCTTCTGTTCCTTCTATTTTAGCATTGTCCCAGTCCATTATGTGATTTTCTCTTTTGTAGTGGTCTGATAAAGCAGATTTGAGGTTTTCCTGTGTTGCCTTTTCCTTGGTTGTCACCTCTGATGAAGGTGGAAGTTTACAGCTGAAACATGTCAGGTAAAGCAGTACTAGCTTTCTTTAAAGCCTTATACATAACAAGACAAAATGAACTTTTCACATTTAAAAGATGACATGCTTTTGAATAAGATAAAGTGTGTGGTGAGGTGTTTTACAACCTTTAAACAACCTTAGACACTGGGCACTCACAGACACAACACAGTCTTTTTTTAATTGATCAATGTTACCGTCCACATGTTTTGTGGGGGCTCATCCCAATCAGAAGTTTTCCACAATTTGAGAAAGGACTGTTCGGAGGGAAGAGAGTGACATCACTAGTGTCCTTTCAGTTTCATACTGTTACTCAAAATATATTGGTATTACCACAAACTGCAATATATCACCGAGCCTTAGTGCAGGCTATATGCATTTGGAAGCCCTCTATTTGGTTTACAATTTGATTGAATCATTATTAAGTTAGTGCACAGGATAGGTCCATCTGTACTTCTGCAGACGTGTCCACCTGTGATGCATGAGGCAATTCCGGGTTTTTTGGAACCAGATCCATCTCTCAATAACCTTGATAACAATGAGGGTAGACAGAGCCAAAGCCAAGTCAATAGATTCCGTGCCCCCAGGTTGGCATTCAAGCCAACCAAATATTTTGTTTAAAAAGAGGAAAAACTCAATGGGAAGCAGACAGATGGCGGGGGAAATAGTGGATGTGACAATTCTGGTGAAATGTTGGGGTGCGATGCAATTTGGGAAAATGAAACATGTTGAAAAAACAAAAACAGAGTGGCAATAACTGCGCCATCAAACGAGTGGCAGATCACGGAATAATAAATGAAGCATGATTCTCGTTAGCACTTTTCAAAAAGCAGAGTACCAGAGAGGCGAAAGAACAACCCTAGTGACTTGTCTTACTTGTCAGATTTGTTTTTGGCTTTCTGTTGAGGGACTCTGAGCACAATGAGGAAGGCAGCGGATAAAATGGGGATAGAAAAAGGGTGACAAGTTGGCAATGGCTATACAGCGGTATCAAGGGGAAAATCTGTTTGAAGTCCACAAGTAATTTTGGAGCATAGTAGATGTGGTGGAGCCTATACTCTTGTTAGCGGCAGTAGTGGTCAGAAAGGTGAAGAAAAGAGTAGAAAGGAGGCTTGTACTGAAAGCATCCTAGCTTATGTAGTATTAGTAAGGCACAAAGGCATGTACGCCTATAGTGGCCATTAAGTCACTTTGATATGTGTAGGAGCAGCTGTCTATCTCTGAGCTGAACATAAAGACCAGCCTCTAAGTGCCTTTAAGTCTTTTTACTGGTAAAGTAGTTTGTAGAAAAACACTGAACAATGAAGTGTAAGTGGTATAGCAGTGTTTGAATGGCTGGTGTTGTATGGCAAACTGTTAGCAGATTGACTATACTGAAAAACAAGTTAATGCAATGACTCTATCATACATTCATGTAATAGTTAAAGCTCTGCAATGACAATGTTGTGTAATAGTTAAGCTGTTACTTGCTGTAATGTGGCCATGCGTTTGCCATATTGTTGTTACTTTTATCACAATACTCTTCATAGAATAATGCTAAAGATTCTTAGAATAAGGAAAGGAGTATTGTGTATAAAGAATATAGAGGTATTATCTGTCATTTGTTTTCATAAAGTATTTATATTACCAATATCTGTTGTTGTCAGACAAACTGCAACTGCTACCTTCTTTGATCACAGCTCTTTTGAACATACTTGATGTAGCTGTATGGTACTTGAAGACTACATTAAAGCACACAAAGATATAAACCCGATAAAAAGACATTGAGTCATTGAGCCGTAGCCACTGTATACAGCTAAAACAGATTAAGCAGAACTTTAATGGCATGGCTTTGTTTCCTCCTCCACCTGGTGCATCCCAACGGGAAGATAATCTGTGAAAGGCAGCCATAGAGGGCCTCTCTAGATTTGCCTGAGAAGCCTTGTGAGACCCACTTGAGATATGATCCTTTGATATCAAGACCAATTATGTGGTATGGCCCAACACACACACACAGGCAAGTACGCCCCCCGCCACACATAAACATGAACAGCCTTGGAAAGAAGTGATCGCGAACCAAAGAGAATGTGATACAGAGGGAAACACTGGGCAGGCAGAACATGCTCTGATTTTATCTAGTGGGCTTGAAAGGCATGTAGCAACCGTACAGACAGAGAAGGAATAGGAGAGTAGAAGCCAACAGGCTGAAACAGACTGGAGAAGCACATATCAGATCAGAACACACACACACACACACACACACACACACACACACACACACACACACACACACTGCCTGGTCTGAAAGGACCCTGGTGCAGTGGCAACAATAAGACTAATATTCAATGTACAAGGAAAAAACAATAAAATAGCCAAATCCATGCACTGCAATCAAAAACAGAGGATAATTATTCAATTATTATAATGATATGTAAATATTGTTAGTATGAACATTATGTAATAATTGCAATTTTTTCTGTTTTAGCTTACCCCATCATTTCTGAATGGAAAAGAGCCAGAACCAAACTTTGAGTCACAGATCATTCAATTTAAGTACCGTGAATCAATTTGTGTTCCTCAATAACATCAAATACAAAATGTACAGTACATATACAACTGCTGTTTGTGTATTTCTTCATTAACATGGATTGGTTTTGATTCCAATCATTCTTACTTTTCACTACAAATCATCTTTTATAACAGGACTATATGACAAAGAGTTGTTTCTATCCTGAGCAGTCCCATCAGAGCGATCCCCCTAGATTAAGCCTGGCCTCTGGCTCTACTAATTGGAGCTTAAAGTCTGCTGTAGCCCCTGGGCAGCGTGCAGTGTGTGTGGGCCTATTCGTACATCTGCGTATTTGTGTGAATTATGGATGACCAGTCCTGGGAGGAAGAGTGGACCTCAGAAGCTGCAGCTGCCCAAGCGAGAAGAGTGAGAGCCAAACAAGTCATGTTAGTGGCACAGGAGGCAGACAGGTGTGGTGACAAAGGACAGCTAAGTGAGCCACACATGACACAGAGCCTAATGGAATAACAGGCCAGAGCACTCAGTCCTACACTTCACCTCAAACATTTTAAAATTAATACTGATGAATAATGAATTATTTATAACACATCTGGCTCATTAAGCAAAGACTTTCACTGTTTCTGATGGACTTATTATTTTTCACTTTTAATCACAAACCTGAAGGGTGGGTTCATTCTTTCAAAAACATGCTCATTTGATGATAATTTAACAACCAGCTGTGGATGACACTTTTCATTATATACTGTTGCCAAATTGTTCTAATAATGGATTGTTTCTGATTGAGTTGAGTTGAGTTGAAAAACAATTGAGTTGTTTTTCTTCAGTTACAAAGATTTCAATTCATGCTATAATCAAAAGACCATACACAGTCATAAATATATACTATTGCTAAGCTTTATCTGCACATATCCTTATTCTGCAGCTATTGACACAATAGCATCACAAATTATTCTGAAACATTTCTAGTCTATACATAGGGAAATTACTTACTAATTACTAATTTTTAAATATTACCTATGAATGTTCTTGTTCTGAGAGTCCATCATGGGTTTATAATCAAGCTAAAGATTGTCAACAAAAGCTAAAGCTCAAGAAGCATTAACAGCTATCACCATTGCTTGTGTGTGCTCTTTTAACCTTCTGTCTGCAATGTGCAAGACAACATCAACATTTCCACACTGTGGGATCTCTTTTTTCAATAATATGCAACATCTAGTTCAAAAAAAAAGCAGTATAAGAAGAATATGGGAAAATATGGATGGAATATAGGGCGCACAACTGGAAGCGCTCTTACCTGAGTGACATGATTTTGTACGCGTCCGGCAGGTAGCAGCGTGTGTTCTCCATCTGGGCGGGGTCCGAGTCGCAGATCTTGTCGTCAGTGCGGCCGTAGTTGGCGCTCTCAATCATGATGACGTCAGTGCCCGGGCAGCGCAACTCAATGGGGTATGACTCGCACGACAGCTCCCTCCGCACCACGGCCATGGGGATCGGGGCACGGCTGTGGGCTGGACACACACACAAATGACTTACATTAAAGATAGTGTCTAACTATCTCCATCTTAAACCAGTATCAACCCTTGATGCTTATTTGAGAAAGTATTGATACTGAAAGAGATTAAATCAACAGGGTGACATGTGACGGATTAGTTTTTGAACAATTTCAGAACTAGAATAAAACCCATGAGGTTCAATAAAAGCACTTTAATGTTGAAATATTATTTATATTACGAATGAGGACACATTTTTCAATAATGTTTCAAAATTGGAGAGTATTATTATTTTTTAATTCAAATCAAGATTGATATTTTAGCATTAGAACTTAAATATGTTCTTCGTACATGTTCACCAAGGTTGCATGCACAGTGAACATGTCTGTTTGTTTACCTGTGACATAACATAAAAGGTTATGGGAGGATGTGCACAACAAGAAACGTGTGCAATTGTGCAGTGAAAAGTGAAGGAGGTGATCAGAATCATCATCTGAATACAGTATTTATTTAAGGACTGGAACTGTACTCTTATTTTTGATGGTGTCTGAAGGCCACGACAGACAAAGAGACTCAGGACTTATCAAAAATGTCAAACTAAAATCTATATTGGTATTGACCAGGGACGTGCAGTCAGGGGAGGCAGGGGAGGCAGAGCCTCACCTGCCATTATTGGAAACTAATAATTATTTTAGTTTAAATATATAATTTATATCCACTGTCCTATGCTTTTAATGTATATTCGGCACGGTTCCCATCAGTTTTGATCATTTCTGAAGTCAAAATCGCCGAAATCCCGTTATTCCTATTCAAAGAGACGAGGTGAGGCAGCGCTCCTGCGTGCCTCACCCCAGACCGCTCCCTCACAGTGTGTGTGTGTGTGTGTCTGAGTGCACTCAGCTCGTGCAGTTGATATATCACCGTTTGTTTCAAATATCCTGCTTTAAAAACATTTTTTAAACTCCTCTTAGTGTTTAGTAGTGTATTGCACGTATGTGTGTACAATTTATATTTAGTTTAAGTCTTTTGATCGTAGATGAACACACAAGGAAAAAGCTTGGCGTGAGGCAGGCGGTATCTGTGCCTCACCGCTAGGGGTGATAGTGAGCATAAAGTTCATACCAGAGTTGCTAACAAACAATCAGCCCAAAATGCTATTTCTTTTGCTGGAAAATGGATGATTTGAATGAAGATTTTTTTTCTCAATTGGACTTTCAAACAAAGAAAGAATTAATATAGACTGGGAGACCACCACTGGACTTACGAGGTTAGTCCGGCTGCGGGGGAGGAGTTTGTTAATCTGTGTTTTATGTTGAACATTGACAGATACCGGCAAAGTAGTGCTTTTCCGAAAAACACTGATTCAAACACTGCTCAAGAGTTCTGCAACTGTTTAAATTATTGTTTATGTTCCTCGCGTCTCTCTCTCCTCGCGTCTCTCTCTCCTCGCGTCTCCGTCTCTCTCTGCTCCTCGCGTCTCGTCTCTCTCTCTCTCTGCTCCTCTCTCCTCGCTCTCTCTCTGCTCCTCGCGTCTCCGTCTCTCTGCTCCTCTCTGTCTCTCTCTGCTCCTCTCTCCTCGCGTCTCTCTCTCCTCGCGTCTCCGTCTCTCTCTGCTCCTCGCGTCTCCGTCTCTCTGCTCCTCTCTGTCTCTCTCTGCTCCTCTCTCCTCGCGTCTCTCTCTCCTCGCGTCTCTCGCACCTGCGCTTCTTAAAGATGTTGTTTGATGCGGAGCAGAGTCAGCAGCTAGATTTGTTGTGAGATTATTAAAAGAAGCTGGTTCTCTTATCTTTACAGTATATAAAGTTTGTGGATGGCATTGCATTGGTGATTAAATGCTATTTTATTTGAATAATGATTGTAAATCTGACTTTTAAAGTCAGTGCCTCCCCAATCACAAACCTCACCGCACGTCCCTGGTATTGACCGATCCATCTGTAACAATTAGTACTTCCATGTTTGATGCAACCTAAACTGTAGCAGATTGACATTAAAAAAATACAATCCTTTCTTGTCTGAGCCGTAATGAGTTTTTTGGATGGTGAAAAACATGCTCTTGCTCTTGACACCTTGTATACTCCAAATCTGGCGCTTTGAACAAAGGCAGTCTACAGCAGATGAGGCGAGCATCGCCAAGAAACACTGTTCTATCAGATTCCAACAACACCACACTCCAACACAAGAAAGAATAAATGAAACTGCTTCACAAGTGTCCCTTTGGTCATCACTTATTTTCTGTTTTGGAGAAATGTCATAAAGTTGCCAAATGGACAAGGTTTATTTTTTTATACTAATAAAATATAATGAGATCATTAAAACTGCAGTCAGCACTTAACATATCTACTCAATTGTGGAGAGTGAATTTGGTGAGTGTGTGATTGGCGGAAGGATGCAGCTGATTTGCTGGATTTAGAAAAAACCCCGCAGACACACAGTATGGGAAGAAATAATCATGTATCAGCAAATTAATGATGATGATTGTGTAATTGTTTTTTTGTGCGTGAATAAATATTACTGCATTAATAAAAGACATCTTAATAATACATCAACTGATTGTAAAGTCTCTGTTAAACCTAGTGTATTTTTAATCATACTGGTCCTGAAAGACCCTGTTTACAGTGTGCGCAGACTAGACTATTGTGAGTGCGAGGTGTGGTGCAGCTTTGTCCCTGGGATTTTGCTTGTTGTGCCTGTTGTTATCCTGGCCCCTAGGTGTGCGGCCCCCTGTGTGCTCAAGTGATCTTGCCCTGACAGCCAAGAGATCCGCTGACTGCTTAGAGGCAGCTCTGTCACTCCTCGCTCTTCTGAAAGTTCAAATGGTGTGCATTTAGTGTTGGAATATATTTATCAATGTTGACCATAAACGTTTAATGAAAGAAAACCATTTAGTGACACAAATAAAAAGGAAAGAGACAGAAAAATCAAATGTATGTATTTTATCCTTACAGGCTGAGCTATTTGATTTAGAACAAGGAATGATCAATTTTTGTTTTCAAGTTCCTAATTATGTTGTGGGGTTTTTTTCCAACCTTTTTTCTACACCACACCAATATTTTATTCTATTTATTCTATTTCTAACCAAAAGCTCTTTCTTTGATTTAAACTTCTGCATTTTTTCCCTTGTTAGACATGCAGTTAACACATTAACTAAGCGTCCTTGTTAGACACTTAGTTAACATGCCATTGCAAACCAAGAAGTTTATTTTTTAGCTCGATTCGCATTTTAAGGCCTGAAATAGGCTGCATGACAAAACCTGTGCAGGATATTCTCTTCCATGTTTCAAAAGAGGAATTTATTTTCACAAGGTCAAAAGAGCCTCTGACTTTATTTTCAATGGCACTATTCACTGTTCCACAATTATCTAGCTTCCAGGTATTTATTTTTCTGACAATCTCACATTTTACGCAGTTTAAATTTTGATTAACTATTACATCCCGATTTTGATCTCATCAAATGTTGTTAAAATATATTTTCAGCTTGATGTTCTTTGATGAATAACAAAACATGCCTTGTTGCTATAAATACTTCATGTGCATCGTTAACGCTTCCAAAACACTCTATGCTTCCAAGTTGCATAGAAGTAGCAGACACGCACTTCAAAACACACTTATAACACAGACCTGCAAAGAGAGGCAGGAAAACCAACCTCTCCTGTTCTCCCCGTCTGCGTAACCATAGTAACCCCATCCCCTATCTCCTCCGGGCTGGCTCATTGGCTGGAGGAGCGTCATGGTTACACGGATGCAGCGGAGAATCTGAATGAGCACGGTGACAGTCGGGCTCTCTGCTCTTACGCCGCCCTTCACACGCGCAGATTCAAATGGCTTTGGGTGATGGCATGTACTAACCAGGGCGGACAAATCTTTGCACCCTACGGGGACGCATTGATAATGGCAAGCACTCGCTCAGAGATAAGACTGGTATATAAGTGACATTTAATGAAAACCAACAAACACACACATGCTCTTAAAGTACCGTCGGCTATAATTACACCCTGGGTCCTCGTTGAGAAGGCGGATTTAGGTGTTTGGCCGTGTTTTGTGAGTGTAAAAAAGTGCTAGGGGCAACGGGTCAAAGCAGGGCTATTGTGATCATTTTTCCGCAGCCGAATCATGTCCAACTTGGTGAACACGAACAGAGCGTTAATTGAAGCAAGAGGAAATCAATATATAGCATTTATTGTGAGACATCGGTCTAGACTAGCCATAAGATCCGATGTCAGTCCGCTTGGCCTCACATGGTCAAGCGTACAGGATGCATGGTGATAGTAAAGTAGAGTAAATATAAAATAATCGTGTTGTGTGCAGGTTCAAAGACGTCACACAATAACATATTAACCCTTAATTGCAAACACACAGAACAGTGTCTGATGGTATTTGCAAATTGTATTCCAACAAACACTCATTGTACCATACTTACACATATCATTTATTCAAACACCCATAAAAGCAGCCTGATGTCAATACCTCGTAGACAACTCAACAGTATCCAGCTCCTTTCATGGCAACTGTACATTATTTAGCCGCAAAGAATTATCCAATACTCATAAGGCTTTTAAAAGCGGTCTGTGGCAAGAGGAATAATTTTTCAGAAAATAAACAAGCTACTTCACCTACACCCACTGAATGTCTGCTGTCATTGTGTCCTTGGGGAAAACACTTAACCCCACTTTGCCTGAAGCCCCCAGCTGAAAGATCAAGAACAGGACATCACCAACAGAGCACCAACAGAGGACTCACCACCTGCAGGAGGATCTAAATTGGGTGGCAGCCCCTGATTGCCAGCCCCTGACACAAATATGAATGGTTGAAAATGGATGAATTAATAAAAACGCTAACAAATATTCCAAAGAAATGTGAAGTGAATAAGAACAAGTGTGTACACTCATCATGTTAGATGATAACATAGGGGGTAATACAATCTTTATTCAAGCACATTTTGACTGTCTTAAAATATGATTTACCAATGGGAAAAGAAAAAATGTCTTGTTTGTAAAAAAAAATAAAAGAGAATTCAAGAA